CCATCAGTTGCCCCTGGGGTCGATCGTGGACTTTGAGGATTTTGCCAGTAAGCTCACTGAAAGTGCTGAAGATTGGCAATAAATTGATGAACCTTCTGATATTCACAGAGATCAGAAATTTACGGAAGTATTTAAGGGAAGTTTATTTTTGGTATGAATAAGTCTTAATTTTAATTAAGTCCAAAGGACTGATTATTTATATTTTATTATGGCAGGACCTTGGGATTGAGGGGGAGATACGCTTTCCATAATCTAAAGAGGAGAAGAATCGCAAGATTCACCTTCCATAATCGAAGAAGGAGAATCACGAGATTATCATTCCTTATATGAGTTTGTCTTGGATGAGAAGATTTTCCAAAAAGGATGTTGAAGATAAAAGGAGGACGAGACCAGAGTTGAGGATGACTTTTGACATCTTTTTGTTAGTTATTTTTCTTTCGGTGAGTAAAACGAGTGATATCTAGAACATTTTGTAAAAGAACGTTCAGAGGTTCGTTCTTATAGTTTGAGGGATTCGAACTAGAAAATCCACAAGGGAGTTGTGGTCGGATAAGTAGTTGTGTGAATCATCATTCAAGTAGAGTGTAGAGGGAGTCTATACTGTAAACCCTTGGATGATGTATGAGTTGTTCACATTAATGAAAGAGATCTGAAGGGAGAGTTAGACGATCTCCTGAAGATTCAATTTTCAGTGATAAACTACTTCTGCAATTGTTTGAATCTTCATTACAGTCTGTCTATTCAATTTACGTGCAACTCTGGATACTTGGTGTTCAAGTATCAAATTTCAATTGGCACCAGAGCGGGCTTTCATCTTCATTACGAAAGATCCTAGGACGTGTGTTACCCTCAAATCATGAATCAAGAAAGCGGATCGATGTCCAGGCCTCCGCAATTGGACGGTTCGAACTACTCGTATTGGAAGTCTATGATGACAATCTTTCTAAGATCGCTTGGAAAAGGCGTGTGGGAAAGTGTTGAAAATGGCTGGGAGCATCCAGTCATGCAACAAGCACCCGATCAAGGTAAAGAGACAACAAAAGTCATGGTTTCTAAACTAAAGGACAACTGGACAGATGCTGAGAAGCTTCAAGAAGAAGTGAACTATCGTGCCTTGTATGAGATTATGATGGCAGTTGATTAGACAAGACACAAGATGATAGTTTATTGCAAAACTGCAAAAGATGCTTGGAAGGTGTTACAACGTCAATTTGAAGGTTCAACGGCTATCAAAGCGTCCAGACTTCAACGGGTAACTCTTGAATTTGATGAGATCAAAATGAGGGATGAAGAGACAGTTGATGTATACTATGTCATATTCTGTGATATGGTAAATCAAAGCATGATGCTTGGAGAAGAAATCTCTAAAAAATGTTAAGTACAAAAGATTATGAGAACCGTCGTTCCCAGGTTTAGAGAGAAAATCACAGCTCTTGAAAGTTTTCAAAGAGTGGCCTAATTGGATGTTGGTGAACTTCTTGGATAGCTCAAAACTTTTGAAATCAACGACAATTATGACAAAGTTAAAAGTAAAGGCTTAGCTCTCAAAGCTGCTGTAGTCGCGGAAAGAGAAGAAAGCGATGACGATGAAGGTCCGTTGACAGATGATAGTGAGCTGAAGAAAGCACTAGCTTTAATCGCGCGAAACTATGGGAAGATGAGTCAAAGGCTGTACAAGAACAAATTTGCTGGAAAAAAGGGGAACAGTTTCAGCAAGAGTGTGGTGCAGGACAAGAAAAGTAGTATGCCACTCTCAAAATCCGATTCACAACGAGTCGAGAAGGATCAATGCAGGGAGTGTCGAGGCTTTGGACACTTCCATTATGAGTGTGCTAATCTTAAGAAGAAGAATAAGTCACTAAAGGCAACCTGGGATGATTCAGATGAAGAGGGAACAGACGAACCTTCGTTGCACACAAGCAACCTGACAGTTCATATCTCAGTCAAGAAGTTCATGTGTCTCACCACTTCTCATGCTCCGACCAAGTTTGAAGAAAGTTTGAAAGAAACTGAAGCATCTGAGGATGAATCAGATCAAATTGTGTGTGTAGATCCAGTTCACTTGCTTGCTATGGAAAAGTGCGCTCAAGCATCTGAAGCTCTACAGAAGCTTCAAAATGAAGTGTTTAGACTTTCGAGAGCAAACAGGGTGCTGAACGAACAAGCAACTGCCTCCACTGCTACTAAAGAGTGTGAACTGGATACTGCTAAGGCACGAACTTGCATCCTTGAGAGCAGTGTCAAACTTGCTAAACAAGACGGACTGGAGAAGGCTCAGACCATTGAATGCTTGAGGAATGAACTATTCTCTACTCAGAAACTTCTTGCCAAGTGGAACCAGGAAATTGTACTACTGAAAAATGAAGCTGATCAGTTGATGAACGAACATGCTAGCATGGAAAGCAAACTGAAGGCGAACTCTGCTGAGTTGAGCCGAACTGCAGAAGTTGTTCAAAAACTGAACAAGGGAAAAGCAGACCTAAATAAACTTCTTTCCTTGGGAATACAACATGAAGATCTTACTGGAATAGGGTACACTGGTAGGGAAGACATTACTGAGTCCTCAACTGGAGCTTCAAATGCAAAACCTACCCGTCTTGGATTTGGTGACAAACCTGGAGTTGGAGGCTTGAACCTCCATGGGAGACCTTCCAGAAACGTGTTTGACAGGTTTGTAAAAAGCACTGTAAGTAAACCTCCATCTCCACAATCTCCCTTGAAGGTTCATTCTCCCAAGTAAAAATCTGTTGTTAAAACTCACCATAACTTTGTTCCTATCTATCATTACTGTGGTGTAACTGGTCACATTAGACCCAAATTCTATAAAATGCAGCATGACCTTTGTACAGGAAATGTTAGGGGTTGGAATCAATCTGGGATTCAAGTGAAGGTTCATTCTAGGACCCTCTCAAATAACCGTACCAAAAATCATCAAGAATGGGTTGCTAAGAAATCCTTCAACTGTTTTGCCTCTGTTCTATCCCTCAGGACCTCTCTGAAAAGTAAGTGGTATTTGGACAGCGGCTTCTCTAGACACATGACTGGTGAACCTTCTTACTTGATGAACATTCAACCCAGTTCAAATGGGGAAGTCACAATTGGTGATGGAGTGAGCAATAAGGTTATTGGAACTGGCTGTTTAAATTTGGGTGGAATACCTAAACCAACTGATGTGTTACTTGTTGATAAGCTAAAGGCAAATCTGTTGAGTGTGAGTCAACTTTGTGATCAAGGCCTTAGTGTCAGTTTCGCTTGTGACAAGTGTTATGTGAAAGACAGTGAAGGTTCTTGTGTACTTACAGGTTCTCGTTCAACAGATAACTGTTATCTTGTTAATGTTAATGAAAAATGCCTTTTCTCAAATGTGAGCGAACCTGAAATATGTCATCAACGCCTAGGACATATTGGATACTCTCACCTTGTCAAATTGACCAATACAGGTGTAGTCAGGGGTGTTCCAAAGATTGCTATGAAGGACCAGCCAATTTGTGAACCTTGTCAACTAGGTAAGCAAACGAGGACATCCCACTAGTCACTGAACCATATTGTGTCTAAATAGATCCTAGAGCTACTTCACATGGATCTCATGGGCCCATTCAGGTAGAAAGCTATCAAGGTAAAAAGTATATTTTTGTGTGTGTTGATGATTTCTCTCGATATACTTGGGTTGATTTCTTGCGTGAAAAATCTGACACATTCTCTGCCTTTAAGTCACTTTGTTTGAAGGTTCAAATTGAGAAAGGTTTTCTCATAATAAGTATTAGAAGCGATCATGGAAGAGAGTTTGAAAACTCTGAGTTTGCTGAATTTTGTGATTCTCTAGGTATTAGTCACGAGTTCTCGGCTCCTAAAACTCCTCAGTAAAATGGAGTTGTTGAAAGGAAGAATCACACTCTACAAGAAATGGCCAGAGTCATGTTGAACTCCAAAAACATTTCTTCCAGATGGTGGGCTGAGGCAATAAATACAGCATGGTACCTAGTGAATCATGTGTACCTTCGTCAAGGTATTGGTCTGACGTCATATGAACTCTGGAAAGGTAAGAGCACTGACCTCAGTCACTTGCATATTTTCGGGTGTAAGTGTTTTATCTTTAATGATCGTGTCCAACTTGGAAAATTCGATGCAAAATTGGATATTGGATTCTTTCTTGGTTACTCTAACAATAGTCGAGCGTATCGTGTTTACAACACAAGTACCTCCACTGTGATTGAGTCAATAAATGTAATCTTGATGAAAAGAATTCTCAAGTTAGTTCTTCTGTATCCTTTGATCAGTTTGAAAATATTGAGGCTTTGCAGGATACTCAGGGTCTTAAGAGTTCTGCAGACAAGGAGATAGCTGAACCTTCTGTTGAAGATGCTGAAACATCAACTGACTACACTGTCCCTGCAACTCAAGAAGGCTCTTTGTCACTTAGGCGTGATCCTCCCTTAAGGGTTCAAAAAGACCATGCATCCGAGCAAGTCATTGGTGACATAAGCGAGAGAGTGACCAGAAACTCAAAGACGTCAGTCAAAGAACTTATGGGTGTCTCTCATTATGCCGGCTACACCTCACTCCTTGAACCCAAGAATGCTAAGTAGGCTCTGAAAGACGCGTGTTGGATCTTAGCCATGCAGGAGGAACTGGAGCAATTCACTAGAAACGATGTCTGGGAGTTAGTCCCTGAACCTTCCGCAGAAATGTTATTGGAACCAAGTGGATCTTCAAGAACAAAACTGATGAGTTTGGGAATGTGACACGGAACAACGCGCGACTAGTAGCTCAAGGCTACACTCACACTCAAGGGATTGATTTTGATGAAACTTTCGCCCCCGTTGCTAGACTTGAATCGGTACGCATATTCCTATCTATTGCATGTCTAATGAAGTTCATTGTTTATTAGATGGACGTGAAGTCTGCCTTTCTGAATGGGATATTACATGAAGAGGCTTACGTGAAGCAGCCTAAAGGGTTCAAAGATCCCAAGAATCCGAATCATGTCTACAGGCTTAAGAAAGCATTGTACGGATTAAAGCAAGCTCCTCGTGCGTGGTATGAACGTCTTACCATGTACCTTCTAGAAAAGGGATTCAAGAGAGGAGGAGTAGATCAGACATTCTTTGCCCTTCGAACGAATGAGGACCTATTGGCTGTACAAATCTATGTCGACGACATCATCTTTGGATCAACTTCCAAGAAGCTGGTCAATCACTTTGTGAAACTTATGTCGTCTGAATTCGAGATGAGTCTCGTCGGTGAACTTTCGTACTTTGTTGGACTTTAGGTAAAGCAAGGTAAAGATGGTATTTTCTTACATCAGGGTAAGTATGCAAAAAAACCTTGTTAAAAAATTTGGTCTTGAAAATGCTAAATGTCCTCAATCTCCCATGGGCACTCATGTAAAAGTGTCCAAAGATGATGAAGGTTCATCTGTTGATCAAACTCTATACATAAGTATGATTGGTAGTCTTTTATATCTCACTGCCAGTAGACCTGACATTTGCTTTAGTGTTGGATTGTGTGTCAGGTATCAGGCTGCCCCCAAGGAATCACATATGAAAGCAGTCAAGCACATCATAAAGTACATTGGAGGTACAACAGAGTATGGTCTATTCTACTCTGCTGATACTAACTTACATATTGCAGGTTATTGTGATGCTGACTGGGCTGGAAATCTTGATGATCGAAAAAGCACCTCTGGTGGGTGTTTTTACATAGGATCAAACTTGGTATCCTGGTTCTGCAAGAAACAAAACTACATCTCCCTTTCTACTGTTGAAGCCGAGTACATTGCCGCTGGAAGCTGCTGCTCTCAGTTGGTATGGATGAAACAAATTCTATCTGAGTATGGTATGAACGTTCATTCGGCTCAAATTTTCTGTGACAACACTAGTGCTATAAACATTTCGAAAAATACTGTCCAACATTCTCGTACCAAGCATATTGACATTTATTATCATTTTATTCGTAATTTGGTAGAAGATGGGGTTATTGTGTTAGATCATGTACCTAC